TATATATTCAGAGGTCAAGTTTGAAGAGGCACTTCCGAGAGACCTTGTAACGGCCGGCAGGACCGCCCCCTCACTTTTTGGCAGAACATATGCAGATTTTTGTATGATCGGAAAGAAATGCTATTGGGGCCCCCACTTAATTAAAGCTTTGAAAAACATGTCTGCTGGCGCAGGCCAGGGTAGAAAACAAAAATGAGCTTCTTAACATAAACTATATTTTGCTGGACATGGCCATGGTGGTACGCATCACACCAGTTGACGGGATGATGGGATAACTGAAACACAATTTGTAAATGAATTTGTGTGAGATCATAGGCTAGGCCTACTAGGCCTAGTAGTAGGTCAAGTACTACTACTACTCCAGTAGGTCCCTGCCTATGGCCTAGGCTTAGCCGAAACAGAGAGCTCTCTTTCCTATATGCCAAAGATAGTTCTTTCCTATATGCCAAAGATAGTCCTAGCCTAGGCCTATAGGCCTAGATATGGGCCCTACTAAATACCACACGGAACACACGGGACCACACGGGTGAAAAAATGTTACCACATGAGAGTAGTAGTACTTAATAATCAATAGAAACCAACTTTTAGAAAGGTAATTATCCAAATCCCGTGAAAAATCGATGCAGGCCTAGGTAATTCTCTTGATTTTGTTTTGTGGGTTTAAATTTCCTATCGCGTTTCGGTATGTAATGCGTTGACATTGTGAATCTGTAACGCATTGACGTGTCAGCAGAAACGCTGACACGACCACCGAATCCGTTTGAATGGCAGCCTTCAGTTTGTAACATGTGAGTTTCAGATATAGGTAAGTATAATGAATAAGGACTAAAGGAGTTTAAACAACATACCCTCCTTTCTAAGAAGAAAAAAAAAAGATTTTGTGTACGTTTTAAAGGGTTAAAATAAAAGCATTTTCACTTGGAGGGCTAGGCCCCTGCCCTTAGGCCTGGGCTAGGGCCGGCCTAGCCTAGGCCTAGGCCTAGTCCTATGTAGCCTACCCCTAGGCTAGGGCCGGCCTAGCCTAGGCCTAGTCCTATAGCAGGGGTTTATTTATGAATTTGAGTAGCAGGAGAAATTTGAAAGTAACAGGAGAGTAAATTGAAATAGGCTGGGGTATAGGGGGCCGCCTAGGCCCCCATCGGGGTCCAGGAGCAGAGCCCTGGTGGGGGGTCAAGGGGGAGAAGCGCCATTGCATTCCAGGGTTTTAGAGTTTTTAAGCCCATTTGATGGCATTTACATCATTTTTTTTAAAAACAGTTTTCAGAATCAATTACTGAGCCGTAAAAAAGTTGATATTTTTACATATTTTTCATACATAGACCTAGCCTAAATAGATACTGTAAACTAGAAACTTTCGCGAATTGATAATTCCGGCCGTTTTCGCGACATTAAACTTTCGCGAATCTCAAAAAGCCTAAATTTAATTCATGAGAGGAATATCATACAATAGCTGAAAATATCGTATTGTGAGGTTAGGTCTAGGTTAGATAGGCCTACAGCCACTGTGTAGGCTACAGTATTTAGGCCTAGGCAGACTTAGGCGCCATAAGCCTGCCTAGGTAGTAAGTATACTTACTGAGTAGGTTAGAATATGCCTAGAATTTACGAATTTTTCGAGCAACATCGGAATTTAGGCCTAAGGTCAGAATATTGATTCAATAATTGAAATACATTCTTTTTAATTTAATAAAATCCACCAAAATAAATTGAAAATACAATTTTTATATTG